CTGGAGGTCGTCGCAGGCGCCAAAAAGAAGAATGAGCAGGTCGCCGCGGCGGTCGCGCCCGACACGCAAGCGGACGAGAAGGATGTCGGAAGCATCGAGGCACCTGTTGTGCAGGCTGCTGCTGCGTGATGTGTAGTCCTCTTGTGCAACATGTAGCTGTGATTGTCCTTTGCCGACCACGGCTGCTCTGTTGAATATGGTTTCGACTCGTGCAAGTGGTTTGTTCGTCTACTCCACGAGTGGTGCGTATGCATGAACTATCTAACTGGTATAGAATGAGATTAGATATTACAATAGATACATACCTATCGGATGTGTTATGAGTTCTTCCACACACCATCGACCTCTCCCTTCTTCGCCTCTAGCCGTCGGCCAGTCCACTCCTCCTCCCCAACCCGGTCTGCCCAATCCTCTTCCCCATCCCACGCATCCCAGTTATCCTTACTCGCCGCATCCACTGCGGCTTTCCCTGACACCGGGTCTGGAGAGTTCAGTGCGGGGACCATCGGCGAGCGCGGGAGGAGTGGCGGTGGAGGCGAGCGGCGGTGCTTGCGCAAACCCAGTCCCTGCGCGGGTAGCGAATTGCGCGGCACCGGGGACGTGCTGGTGGGACGTGAGGACGGCGTGGGCGACCCGGGCACGCTCGGCGGGTACGCGTGTTCGGACTCGGGTGCCGGCCCGCGGGAGCCCGAGCCCGAGGAGGAAGCGGACGCGGAGGGGATGTCTTTGCGGTCGAGGGAGTTCGACCGGCGGTGCATCTTGAGGTCGGACGAGAGCGAGCGAGATCGGCGCTGGGCTTCTATGTCGGGAAGCACGGCGCCGGTGTCGAAGTCGTCGTCATCCGAGGGCTCGGACGCTTGGAATAGAGGCTCGCGGGCTTCTGCTTCTAGAGAGGCGCGGGGGCTGTCTGAGGGAAGGGCGACGCCTGCGGAGGCTTTCACGATGGAATCGATGAGCCAGAATTGGAGGACGTTCATGAAGATGGGGAAGAGGCCCATCGTGCTGCAAGTCACGCGACATGAGAACTGAAGGTTAATGTGAGTGTGGGCGTGTGACGCACAATATTACCTGGACGGCGTCCTTGGTGCCGAGCCAGCTGAGGAGCCACGCGCCGACTTTGAAGATGCCGGGCCATGCGGCAAAGAGGGCGACAACGAGGAGCTTCATGGAGGTCAGCGCAACGACGTATACAGCGGCCTGACGGAGCCAGTACACGAAGGAGGGTGGTGAGCCATACTGGCCTGACTCGAAGCCTTTCAATTGAAGTTTCTCCGTGAAGAGATTGGTGAGGAGGTGAAGAATGAGGTATATAACGCCCACGCCTGCGAGATGACGCGATGAATGAAAGCTGAACGATTGGGAACGGTGTTTGCTTACCGAACGTGGTGTCGAGGAGGATATTGAGGAAATATACCACACACGCATTGCCCGCTGACCTTGCCGATCCGACGTCGGATATCAATACATTGACTCCATGGACGAACATCTGACCCGCGATTTGCTTCGAGACATCGAACAGCCTGCCATGGCGAGAGCGAGGATATGAACGCGCCCGCCAGGGGAAATAGTACAAATCACGCACCATATACGCCATGGCCGCTTTGGCTTCTCCCTGTGTCGTTTATAAAGCAAAGAGGCGACTACAACAACGCCCATAATGCCTTGCACGATCTAACGACGCTGTCAGGCAGCCTCCGTCACGATAAAGATATATTACGCACCAAAGCGGTAGGACCCAAAAGCTGACATGACTGCCGGTCAACAGGATAGTCCTCAAATGGTCCGCTTGGACCATCTGACGAGGACATGAGATGCAGGGAGTGTTCGTGTTCAACGTTAGTAGTTCAAGTCTGCAAGAACGTTGCTCCCCTCGCTTCGTCGCTTACGTCATCACTGTTGCGGTGCAAGGCTGCGCCTGGCTGCGCTCAGATCCCGCAACTCATTCCACGACCACGACCACGACGAGCGCGACAGACGACAGAGACAAGCCCGGATCCCTTTACGACGCATAGAATTTACCCCAACATCTAGCAGGACAAGCATGAGCTTCTTCAATCGTACTAATCCACCGCCGCCTCCACAGAGAGGATCTCCGTCGCCGTATTCGAGGATTCCAGACGGATCGCAGGCGTCTCTACCCCCAGGACCGAGGCCAGGGCAGCGCGTGGCTCCTCAGCACTACAACGATCCTCCACCGTTTGAGAAGCGCTCCTTCGATCGTCGCCCACCACCGCCTGCATCTGGAGGAGTGTACGTTTCAGTCCTTAGCAGAGAAGGCGGCTCGTTTATGATCACATAACAGATTCGGAGTCGCGTCTTGTCCCAGTGATGCGCTCGCACTCACAAACTGCCTCATTGTAAACCCCTCTGACTTCAGAGACGGCGAGCCTGTCCTTGTGAAGGGCGAGTTTCCACTCACGGCTCGGTAAGTGCAGAAGTCTTCACAGTTTGAAGCAGTGCTGAGATCTATCAGTCATGACAACACTGGAAAGCTTCCTCCGGGAACCATCGGCGCGTCCGCCATGCAACGACAATGGATTGGGCTGTCGATAACTGGCGATTCGGTGACCGTCAGTCCCCTCCCTGCGGCTCCCCACCCGGCCGCATTGCCCTTCCTGGAGTCACTGTCCCTTGAAGTTGGCTTCCTGCAACGAGGCGTAGATATTGCTGAGCAATTCTCTGCGGATGACATGGCGAAGAACTTCCTGCGTGCATTCAACGGCGTGGTGTTCACTGTTGGTCAAGTGTTCGTCTTCGAGTACCACGGACACAACCTTAAGTCGACAGTCAAGGGTCTCACTGTCCTGGAGCTCGCGGCGGAGCAGCGTCACGGGCAGACAGGCGGTGGCGGCTCAGGAAATTCGGGTATCGTGATGGAGAAGTCCGACATTTCGTTCTTGAAGGATGCAAGGTCGACTATCAAAATCAAGTCCAGCGCGAAGAAGTGGGTATATGCGCTTTTTATAGGTCTGCAAAGCTAACAGAACACAGAGCAGCACCCAATGCAATCCTGGCGCCGAACTTCAAGTTCGAGGACATGGGTATCGGAGGTCTCGATTCTGAATTCAGCGCCATCTTCCGTCGTGCATTCGCGTCGCGTGTCTTCCCACCGGGGTTGGTCGAAAAGCTCGGCATTCAGCATGTCAAGGGTCGGCTCGCTCCTCGTGGAAGGTGGTCCTTCGCTGACGACAGAATCTAGGTATCCTGCTGCACGGCCCACCCGGAACGGGTAAGACGCTCATGGCACGTCAGATTGGTAAGATGCTCAACGCCCGCGAGCCGAAGATCGTCAATGGGCCGGAAATTCTGAACAAATATGTTGGTGCATCTGAAGAGAACATCCGCAAGCTATTTGCCGACGCCGAGAAGGAGGTACGGCCGTTGAATGCCTATCGTCATGGACATATCTCACCTATATACGCAGTACAAAGAAAAGGGCGACGAGAGTGGCCTACATATCATCATCTTTGATGAGCTGGATGCAGTGTTCAAGCAACGAGGATCTACCAACAGCGGCACTGGCGTCGGCGACACCGTCGTCAATCAGCTGCTCTCGAAAATGGATGGTGTCGATCAACTGAACAACATCCTCATCATCGGCATGACCAATCGGCTGGACATGATCGACGAGGCGCTTCTGCGTCCTGGCCGTCTGGAGGTGCACATGGAGATCTCGCTCCCAGACGAGAACGGGCGTTTCCAGATTCTCGGCATTCACACAGCGAAGATGCGGAACAATGGCGTCATGGACCGCGACGTCGACCTCGCCGAGCTCGCGCGCCTGACGAAGAACTTTTCGGGTGCTGAGATTGGCGGTCTCGTGAAGAGCGCGACGAGTTTTGCGTTCAATCGGCACGTGAAGGTCGGCACGATGGCGGGCATTTCGGACGACGTAGAGAATCTGAGGGTCAACTGGAACGACTTTATGAATGCATTGGACGAGGTGCACCCCGCGTTCGGTGTATCCGAGGAGGAGTTGGCACAAGTCGTACAGAACGGCATCATCCACTTCGACGATGTTGTCGAGGTACGCATCTATTCTCGTCTTGTTGTTGAATTTCTCTGATTTGCGAGCATGTAGGAACTCCTGCGTTCTGGTCAGCTATTTGTCGAACAGGTGCGGACATCGACGCGGACGCCGCTCGTCAGCATCCTACTGCACGGCCCTCCGGGCACTGGCAAAACCGCACTGGCAGCTACGATTGCGCAGGCGTCGCAGTTCCCCTTCATCAAGCTCATCACCCCGGACAACATGATCGGGTTCTCCGAGGCGCAGAAGATCCAAGCGATCTCGAAGGTGTTTGCGGATAGCACGAAGAGTCCGATGAGTGTCGTTGTCGTGGACAACATTGAGCGTCTTCTCGGTGCGCCCCAGCAGCTTCTCAGGAAGCGAAGGCTAACAAGCTTCTAACATTGTGATAGACTGGACGCCTGTCGGCCCCCGCTTCTCCAATGCGGTTCTGCAGACGCTGATGGTCCTGATGGCGAAACGGCCGCCCAAGGTGAGCATCACACTGCTCGTCGTCCCGATATGTCCTCATGTATCGATGCTATTTACAGGGCCGTCGCCTTCTCGTCATTGCGACGTCGTCTGTCCGACCTATGCTCACAGATCTCGGGCTGTCGTCGTTCGACGCCGAGCTGCGCGTGCCGCCTATTACATCCCTCCTGGCGCTTGATCACGTCCTAGACGCCGTCGAGCTCTTCCCCAGCGCAAAAGACCGCGCGCGCGCCGTCGCTATGCTCAAACAGGCCGGCTTTGGCGGGCAGGACGAAGATGGTACGGGCAGGCTGAGCATCGGCGTGAAGAAGCTCATGAGCATCGTCGAGATGGCCCGGCAGGAGCCAGAGGCCGTTGCGGAGCGCTTGACGAGTGCACTGATGGGACTCGGTATGTGAGCTTGTTAGCGTATGGTCAGCATTGGATAGAAAGACTGTATTTGTACAACAATGTAATACAGAGCAAAATGTACGGCCGAGGGGTAAAACGGATTTTGTAATACCCCCGGCGGGAGTCGAACCCGCAACCTCCAGATTCACCCTCGAGTAGAAGTCTGACGTCATAACCATTAGACAACGAGGGCAATGGTGACACTCCGCAAAGAGCTGGTAAGATCAGGGTGCCACACAGACAGTGGCCAAATGGTGAAGTTGGGTTAGAAAGTTAGAAAGATTCATCTCTGAGTTGGTATACAAAAAGGGGTTTTTGAGGTGTTCTGAGCATAATTGAGTATATAAGTTTGAGTAGTTTTAATACAACAGTACTGTCCAATGACTTGCCCCTGGTGTACAACAGTTGTCCTGACCAGTAGAGTGCATCAAATTGTCTCCTATGAGTGTAGAACAATGATCTGGTAGTGCGCTCCTCTACTCAATTGGCTTTCAAGGCTTGAGAGAGAAGAACCTTTTAGTCAAATTGCTCTATCCTACCCTACATTACCCAAAGGTTCAAAAGGTTATTTTTCCTCAATCTTACTGGATTTCATACAACAAAGGTAGATATCCTCTGCAGATATTTTGATTGAGTCTAAAGCCTTTTGCTTGCCCATGGCAGTGACATAGTATACTTGACTCCTAAACAAATCAATGCAAGTACTCCCCTTGCTAAGGGATCTTCAGATGCCTTAGGACGAGGCCGAGTTACTCGGGCTACACGACGTGCGAAGCGCAACTATGAGCGATATAGGGGACTTGGGGCCAAAGCCAAGTCCAGAGAGCGAGATAGAAGCGGAAAGTCCTTTGTTAGACTTGACGCTGACTAGAGATCCGGATCAGAAGAAGTTCTGATAGAAGATCCAGTAGTATTGCGAAGTGAACGAGCTAAGGTACAAGAAGCGAGTTCGCGAGCTATATATACTGTCCCGGACTATGGCGCTGACATAATCCGCAACACTCTATCAGTAAGCCGCAGTAACGTTACTAAGCGTGTCAGTCATCCGCAGCAGGATCACTAAGCGTATGAGTAAAACGTAGTGAGTCAATCGGCTGAGTAAGTAGCGCGCTATAAATAGGTACAATGATGACTGCGCATCATGTGAGTCAGAAGTCACGCACTGTCCGTAGGGTGCGTAGAGTCCGCACTGCGTAATGTAAAAAAGGAAACAAGTAGTACAAGTCCGAGGAAATGCCACAACCGTAACACCCCTGCTATATTTGATGTTGATTGACCAGTCAATAAGTTAGCTGATTAGTCAGACAATGAGTCAGCATGTGGAGTCAGCATGTGAGTCAGTCAATGAGTCAGCTGCCATGAGTCATGCACTATAAATAGAATACATCAATGAATTTGTTTGAGAATATAGCACTATTCAAAAAAAACCTATACAACCTAAGTGTTCTTGAGGACTTGATGAGACATCTACCACTAGATAACTTGAGCAGATTTACAAGATGTCGGTTGACCGATATTGAAACAAAGTCAGAGAAACGGAACAATTAGATATATCAGGAAGATCAGTGATCTGTGGGAACGGATCAGGGACACGATAAGCGGAGTTTGAAAATGACTCATCACATATAAAAGCGGAGCTCCTTTGTTCCCCTGGTTCCCCTATTCCTGATCGTTAACCACCATCTTGAAGAAACATCAAAGTTTTGATCTACTGGGCTGGTTTCCAGCAATATACCTCAGTAACCAAGTCCATAACCCAAGCTTTTGTCATATCTGACAAGCGCCCAAGAAACAAGAAACAAGTAAAGGTCTTACTCAGTTGGGATCGTCGCGTGGGACTACATCGCCGTCGCCGTCCAGACGCGTTTGTGGCTGCCAAATCGGTTACAAGCGCCAAGCTTCTCTCCACCCACATCCCTATCTCCTGAATTATATGCCTGCTGGTAAGCTGACTTTGCATTCTATAATGAACATGAAATCTAATAGCACTGTCACAGATCGTGCAACACGACGTAGGAACGGATCCGACCCATACAAACAACGCAACATCCCGAGCCACTCTTCTTCCTCAACCCACATACCCCCTTCGCCCATCATGAAGATGGAGATAGATGAGATTATTGAAATACCAAGTGATGATGAAATGGAAGTGCTTGATGAGCGCGCGCAATGGAGAGAAGGAATCCGACGCGTCAATCGCAGGGCCAGCGACGGGCGCGCCCCGCTTCGACCACCGCGCAACCAGACGGGCAATGTAACGTACGTGCCCAGGCAACCAAACCCCGATGCACCTTCCATGCGCGCCGCGCAGACGACGCGCGGCGGGTATTCCTACGACCATCCCCTCTACCGCGTCGAGGAGAACGTCATTACTCTCAAGGTTTCAGACGGCGACCGCAACTTCGTCCCATCCGATGAATGGCGCAGGCGCAAAGTGAAGGACGGGCGGGTGTCATATTACTACCCCGTCAGTCCCGACCATCACATCTTCAAACGGTGGTTGGAAGTCTTGGGTGGCATGTTGGCGAAGCATGTGTTGGACAAAGGCCCGTCCCGTGAGTAACTCGTTCTCTCTCTCCACAACTTCGGCTGACCATCGTTCATCTTACAGCTGGACAACCGAACTGGACTCTCTCTGATTTCCCGAAGGGTTACTCGCTCTGGTTCCACAAGAACGGGTTCGTCGCGGACGAACGGAACGCGCGCCTCGACCCGTACCTCCACGGCTGTCGAACTGTCCACCAATTCCGCTCGCCGATGGAGTTCGCGGAACACATCATCTGGCTCATGCGCGGGCAGCGGGGCACGTGCGCGTGCATATACTGCACACCGGGCCAGACGCAGAAGCAGATCACCGACAGGCTGCGCGGTCGGATCGTCGAGCGTCAGCCGCGCGGCGAGGAGGATGGGGAGGGGCAAGTGGGGACGAGAAGATCAGGGCCGGGGAGACCACCGCATGCGACTTCGCGCACGCCGCAGGCACCCTACAAACCGATCATGGCGAAGGATTACCGCGTCATGCCGCAGGGTCAGCATTGAGGGGCTCGTTGTGTGTGTATGTCAGTTATCGTCTGCAGTTTGTCGCCGTCCGTCCAGCTCTGCCAATGCTATCGATTCCGTTTCTTTCGTACTGTGTACTACAAAGCCTTCGGATCCCTTTCTTTCCGCTCACATCTTCGCTCTCACCTCTGCTATCCTGCTTGTCTCATGAACCACAGTTTTTCATTTCCAACATCCCTACCCGAAATTCTCTTCATGTGATTACGTTGGAACAAATGATATCGTCTGTACATTGCTTGCAACTATTGGGGAGAGTACTCCCTCACGCGCGCTAATCAGTCGACCTCTATTCAGTGAGTGCTCCCCGGCTTCCACTCTGCCAACCACTTCCCGATGACTGCAAGTCCCTGATTCTGCACTGCGAGCACGGTTGAGTCGACCCCGCCGTTCTCCGTCAGAAGGTCTGAGCAATGGAACCCGTTGCCCTCCGCGATCGGCTGCTCCGGTGTGCTCGCGATGTTGACGAAGCCCGAGGACGTGGTCGCATAGCGCCAAGGATCGCCTGCACCGCATGCAGCGTCAGTATATGATAGCCACAGCCTGACAGATGGCTCATTGCATGACGCACTTTGGCCATTCGCAATGAAAAGGCGCTCGGCCTTGAGGTTCCAACCCTCGTAGGCCGCGTTTGTCTTGCCAACGTTCGGGGTAGGCGGTGTCTTGAACGCAGCCGGGAACATTTGTACACATTGTCTCTGCGTGGATCGAGTCAGGAGACTAGGCGTCCTGGTATGTATGGCGCAGCGTACCTCGTCTCCACTGATTTGGGCGAGGCGGGAGACCAAGCTAGGATAGCCGGCCGGCGCTGCGTCCTGGAAGAATCCCACTTCCGTGCACCTGCAAAACTATGAGCAGAAGACATCAGAGAAGAAGTGGAGACGCTTACACGATCCACATCCACGACCTGTCGGCATTATTGAGCGACGTGTCCGTCCAGAACGACTGACTCGTGTTGTACGAGCCCAGGCAATCCCTGACGGAAGTCGTCGTCAAATTCGTTCACACGAACAAAGAATGTATGGACTCACTCGGCATCGTCTCCGCCGCAGACTTCACGGTCCCACGTTAGCTTCGACGTCAGAAGGATTATCTATTACTCACTGAGATTGAGATAGCCGCCGGTCGTCCAGAAATCGCCCCACGCGGCGACCGCGTGCTCTGCTCCCCATCCGCTCGCAGGCGCACTGACTCCGTTCTTCACCTCCAGAGCGTCGCAGAACTGGAAGAACGTCGCGCCGGGGCCCGACGCGGGCTGCAGGGACTGCCAGTCCCACAAGTTTTCGCGTACTGATGTCGAATGACAGATAGGTTCATGTGCGTCAGAATAGCAGCTGGATATAACTTTTCCGATGAGAAGATGAGTACTTACGTGAGCCAGTGACATCGTCCGGGTGCACGACGTCGCCCATGCCAAATGAATTTTTGATTGCGGAAATTGCGGCCGTGTTGCCACTTGCAAAGACTTGATCGATGTGGGCAATTGCCGCCTGGACGTCTGCAGAGCAGTTTTTCGGCATGAAAAGCCGGATGGGCTCGAAGTATCCCCAGAAGTCGCTGTATGCGGTATGGTGTGAGAAGTACGGCGGAAGAGAGGGATAGGGGCGTACACGATGCTTTCAACAACAGCCGAGGAGGCGTAACCGACGAAGAAAGTGTCCGGCTTGCTATGAGATGCCAAAATCTGTCAGTGCATCTTCGACGAGGCGTCTTGACGTACATACTTCACTTTTATGAATGCGGTCAAAGCGCCTGTACGGAACACGAGGGTTATTGAGAAGTTCTGATCGGACAGAAGTAGTGAACGCACCGGAATAGCTCCCACCTACTAGCACCCAAGGCGCCTTGCTTGGGGCTACCTGATCTCCACCGGGCATCGGCAGGACCACATTCTCCGCGAAATAGACCAGATCGTCGACGGCTTGCTGGATGGTATGATATTTGAGACTTGCGACACTGAGGTCAGAGAATGGGTTGGACAGTCCGTAGTATCGATGCTCGATGACAATGGTCGCGCCGTGTTGCTGCTGCGCAATTTGACCATTGATAGTGGCGTTCGTAAGGTATCCAACGTAGGCTGCCCAGGGTTAGGAAGACACGTAAATCGATTCATCGACTGCTCACGATCAGCCGCGT